ACTATAATTTATATACGAACCAATCGGGTATAAGATAACAGGTCTCAGATTTTGGCACGAAATTCATCCATCCATTTGGCTAAATAATTTCGGCATTATAACTGATGTCAGTTCGTGATGAAAAACCGTAAATCTAATTGCTAACCCTAACTATCAACTATGAATCACAATCCTTATTCTTCAAACTGCTTTACGATCTTCATTTAGTCCTAGTAAGTAGGTAGACACTCTCAAGGTTACTTTGGCGTCACTCAAATGTCGTCCATAAATTATAATCTTACGAAAATGACTACACATTATAGTTTAATAGCTCTGTATTAAAAGGTACATCATTTCTTGGTACGATAAAGTAGTTGTCTGATGTTAATTTTCACTGTTAAAATATCAGTAGAATAAAGGCATTTAGCTCACAAACTTGCAATCAGAGTGAATCAGCGTCAATTTTTGTGAATATATAAGTGTTTTTTCAATTTGTACATAAGTGTTAATTGATATTACACAGAACAGTCCAATATATTTTAAGATGGGAATATTTATCTATTCATTTATTGTGTAAAAATGTATCATGTACAGTAGGTTTTGAAAGTAATGAGTTTTTAAAATTTCAACAGAATCTTGCACAATCTGATAGTATTCAGTTAATAAACCTTGTGAACATTAAACATTAAAATAATCACAAGAAATAATTAAGAAAGTTTAATAAATACGGTTCTAGACAGATTAAATAAATAAAACCATGAATATTTATACTGAGTAACCAATATGATAAACGATAGACCGGTTGTTTAGGAAGTTATTCAAAGGTTCCTAACTAATAGTGATCTATGAAAAAAGATAAGTTTATTTAAATTCTACTAAAAAAATGACGTGTTAACCGAATTGCATCAGTTGATTGATGTTAGTCAGAGGTATGTATAATTTTCAACTAGTATACAACCTTATCACTCTGAAAACTTGAATATAAATGCCAAAGAAGATGTCACAACAAAACGCTCCGCCTGAGAATTATTTATAGAAAGTTTGTGCCTGAAACTCATTAAATAAGACTAGTAAATCAAATCATTTTAGATTAAGATTTTTGTGTACTTTTACGTAATTTAGACGCTCGTGAGACGGAAGGTCCTGGGTTCAAGTCCCGATTACGGGATCGTGGATGCGCACTGCTGAGGAGTCCTATACTAGGACAAAACGGCCTTCCAGTACTGCTAGGTTTTCAATGATGGTCTTGCTTAAATCGACTCATCAGTTCAAGTATTAAACTTCCATGTATGTTAGACAGTTAATTGTAATTTATTATGTATTATATTTTAAAATTAATTATTTCGAAGTAAATGAATCTGAATAAAAAATTATAATACTATATAACGTTTGTCTTTTCATAGAATTGAAATAAATAGTAAAACTTAACAAAAAAATTATACATTTCCAAGTTGGTTAAATAGTGAAGAAAAATGATATAAATGGGAATACGCTTCTTTTTACGATTGATTAATCACACACTGATGATTGATTTAATATTTGTCTAGTTGTTTAATGCTGATCGAGTTCTATCAATTGAAGCTCCAATGTTGTTACTAGTCCAGGTGACTTGAGATCGCGTGTTCTACATAGATTTCTCACTCCCACATGAGCTCATGAGCTGCAAGAATTACACAATTGTAAAGTCTCAGAATCTGAAGTTAAAACCCATATGGGAGATTTAAGGTCTCTCAAGATCCCATGTACCCCTTGTTGATCAGTGTCAAACAGCATAAAATCAAGATCTATAACCTTCTGTTAATTACCAACGACCACCTAATATTACAAAATTTTCTTTTAATACGAGTTGATTATGTTTGATAATATATATTACTGGATATTGAACAGATTACGGTAATCTCTCTTGATTATAATAAGAATATTATTCAGTTTTAAGGTCAATGGTCAGTTCAGTATTATTCAACTATTCTTATTCCGTATTACATTTTAAAAAAAAACAAGAGAAGATGCAGTAGTTTCAACTCACAATTAAATTACAGATTTAATCCTCGAAAGTTTAATAATATCAACTACTGATCGTCAATGACTTCGATCATCATGTGTAGTTAAATACGTGACTAAGAAATAATGTATCATATGATTTATTTTTCGAGCATTATTTCAGAAATAATGCTAATTGAAACTTTTATGATCACTTGACACTAATATACAAACACAAACGTACAAATGTGTTATGTGCTATTGATATCGACAGATATATGTAGTATGTATCACTAACCAAAAGTGGAATGCCTGGTGGCAGAAGGTTAGGAAGATTGAAGAAGAGAGAACGAGAACATAGAATGATTGGTGTGGAAACGAAAGAACAATGAAGTTTTAGACAAATGATTGATATTTTGCAAATGAAGTATTTATTGTATGGTTTTCAGATTCTGTAATTTTGTGTGCAAATGCAATTGTACCCAGTTGCGTTCTCGCTCATTACACAATAAATAAATATTAAGAATTCACAACAAGTTGTGGTATGTTATAGAATGATATGTGATAGACAATGAGCAAAACATTAAGACAATTGATTTTTAGACAATGCATTTGTTTACATTATATCTAAGCAGAGTCTAAGACAGAATTAGTTGTACTACATTCTCGTTTTTATTTTGGTAAAAGTTTATTTCATTAGAACTACTGACACTGTATTAAATTGACTAACATGTTAATCGTAAAATGAACAGATGTAATGTTATTATAATTAGTCTCATTATCTTCGTTTCATTGAAATAAATTCGATTCCTAATAAATGACTAAAAAAACCCAGAGTAATGAGGATCCAAATAAGGATAACATAATGCACAGCATGTATATATATATATATATATATATATATATACCGTGAATACTGGTAACAGTGTTAGTAACAAAATAACAGTCACATGAACCATAATTAGTTATCACTTGATCCATATAAAATTTTGTTTATAAACATGTTTCTCTATGTAACATTTTCTGTATGCTACATGTAACGACGTCATAGACACCAATGATAAAAACGAATATTTAAAATGATTTTAATGAGATAATATACAAAATACAAAGTTTATAAATAATGTAGTTGATTTTTTGTTTCATTTTACAGGATAGAGATACGAAGTGATACATTTCTATATATGAAAAAAAACATAATTCATAAACTATTCAATATTCAATATGTCTATCACCATAGAAACACAGTGAATGTCATTTGTTAATGTAATAATGATGATATGCTTTTTAAAAAAAGATATAAAATATAGAAAAATATAAAAATGACTAAATTAGATAAATGATTATTTAAATATAAATAAATTGTTAGGAATTTAGAATATTAGCTTGGGCATAGATCTTCTTTTGAGTTACATTTAAAAGTGGAAGTTATAATGGTACAATGGAAGATTATATATATGTTCACTAAGTCATTGTTATCTAGAAGCTAACCAGTCTTATATTATATTAAGACGTGATCTAATTGATATATGTCAAAAGTTTGCATTACACATTGTTTTAAATGATTAGCATGATGTTTGATACAAGGGATTATTATATGCTTTGTGAAGTAGAATTATTCGATCAAATATGGTATTACGTAATAACTGTAAGAATAATAATTCAATAAAGTTTTTGATTGAGGTCATTGAGATCGATTGATGTTAGACCACCATTGCAAATCTTGTAGCACTGGATAGCCGTTTCGTCCTAGTGCGGGACTCTTCGACAGTGAGTATCCACGATCCCACTCACGCGATTCGAACCTACGATCTTCGATCTCGCGTGCGAGCGCTTAGCGTCTAGACCACTGAGACGTCATTAGACGTTATGTCTAACCTCCCAGGTCTTCCATGGTTGTCTAACATTAATCAATTTATAATCTGAATCAAAAACATAATAATCTCCACAACCCCATACTGATAATTCAATAAAGTTTTCATATATTGTTTTTATTCTGTTGTAAACCCGAAAATAATTATGCTGAAATAAGTAGTCGATATCTGAAAAATGGTTTCTTTATAATATAAAGAGAATTTCGATCTAGGTAAATAACATTATAGGGTATAAACAGATAAATAATGCGAATACTTATACACTTTCAGAAACGCAAGACAAATTACTGTGTTTTCAAACAGATATATTTTTGGGAATATTGTGTATTAAGAGTATGCATATGTGAATATCTCAGTTGTAATGTAATCTAATCAACGAATACACGAACAAAAGTTATGAGAGCTGTATTTTGCTAAATTTAAGGGAGATTATCTCTATCATAGTCAAAAACCTCACTAAGGTTTGTATAAGCTACGTTTTCTCTTTTGATGAGAACCATGGAAGTTTTCATATTTCAGACCTTTTAAGTCCTTTGTAATTTAATGTTACCATTCAACCCCGAAGCTCGTTCCTGAAATCATGTGAACAAATAACTTTCAGATTGGAAGTTGACCGAACAGTAAGTCAAAAATCGTTTCCTATAAATTCAAAAACTGCGGCTGTAGACAAGGGTCACGTATTTTAACCAAAACCAGAATAAATAATTATCTATAATTATTGATAAGGAACCTTTATTAAAGTTATTTCATAAGTGATTTTATGTTACTGATATCACTACGTAAATTTACCTAGTGTTAATTACCTTCATTCCAAATAGCATACTTCAATTGTTATTATAAATCAAAAGGAAAATCTTCATTTAAAAGAGTTGAAAATAAATGTTTTAAGTCTTTTTCTTCAAAGTACCTTTGTGTTGAGTTTATTTTTGACTCGTGATTCTACTCACTAGCAAACAACTCCTAATCTGAGAAATTTTTTTGTCGGTTGAAATTTTCAAACTATAACTGCATTGTTGAAGAAAAATTCAATTTTTTTTTATCAAACTGTTTCTTGACCGATTCAGTGAGCACTTTAATACCTAAACATACATCCATCATAACTGTTAGAAACAAATATACGGTTCTTTCTTCAGTTAGAAAAAAATAATGGATCACTCGAAAGCTTACACGTTTCCTTGATCTGTTTTCACTGGAATAACTGAGGAACTGTTCTTGGCTGTTAGAGTATGAGTTGTCATATTTCATTTCAGAGGGTCCATCAGATCCAATAATATTTTCTGAATATATTTATACTAAAACGTAATAAAGAAGTTATAAGGTATCGAAGTTAAAGAGTACTGTAACATGTGTCAATTTTTAAATGATTTACGATTATTTTTTACAGCAAATGCACTGAGTTATTTGCAGAAATTACAAAATAGTAGTTATTAAAATAAACCCAAATTACGCTTGATGGTTTTCATCTCAGATTGACTTCATTCATAAAATGAAAATCAAAAGGTCCAGTTTTCAGTTAACTGAATTTTCTTTTTTCTACCGGATCGAAGCACATTCAAAACACCTTGGTTCAAAGCAGTTATTTCATAACTCTAATGTTTACATTTTGATTTTATAGGGTTAATTTATGAAAAAAATACTCATTTAATGTTGCTAACTATCTGATATCATGTTACACATCTTTACTATTTATTGAGCTGTATGTTTATCCATTCATGCTGTTTGATTTGTGATCAAAAGTAATTAAGTTTTAATTCCATTATATGGTAATGTTAAAAGTAGTACTCAACCGAGAGATACACGTTGTTCATTCGATAAACGACTTGATCTAAGCTTATTGAAGCTTTAAATTTGTATTTCATCGTTTAACTTTCAATGACAAAATTCTACCCCAACCCATTTAGTTTAGTTTGGGCAATTAGATATTTATCATCAAAACCTGAAGTTTCAAATGCTTGAACAATAAACCCTTACTTATCGTATGAATAGTACTGATAAATTAAAACCATCAAAATTTGATGATGATGATGAACTGTTCAGTGGATAGTATTTAAGATCAATGAATAATCTCAGACAGTAAATTAAAACACTGTTTTCTTCTTCTAAGCAGCAGATATTATAGAGAATAAAAATCAAAGCACAGTTTAATGCAAGATGTAAATACACATATTGTATCAAATAAGAAATAATTCGATAAATGTAGTTCCCTGTAATACATTGAAACCATTTTATTTGAGTTTATTTTCAGCATAAAATGTGTAAATGCAAAAAAAGAAAATTATCATACTTTAAACTGGTTATTTTCAACATTAAAAACAAATCTGTAAACAGACGTTTCAAAAATTGGCAAGACTACAATTTATAGACATGCGCTTGAGGGATTTTAGGGTCACGGAGCCAACTTCAGTACGAGACCATAAATTGTGAACGAACCAATCAGGTATAAGATAGCAGATCTCGCATTTTGGCGCGAAAATCTGTCATGCATTTGGCTATATAGAGTTTTGGCGTTAAAGCTGATGTCAGTTCGTGATGAAAATCCTATATATGATTCATGACTAAGGCAAATTATGACAATTATTTCGAACTGGATAATAAAAGCACCAGTAACACTGGCTGCAGCTAGGTACTATAATATATACGGATGGTTGGAGAGCGTACAGACTTCTACATAGGTTTGGTTGTGTGAATCGTGTCGTTATCCACAAGTGGCATTATGCGTGCTCAACAACCAGAGTGCACACAAACAATATTAAAGCTATGTGTTCGAGGCTGGGAGAGCTTTTGCGACCTTATTATGGTTCCACAGGCCGACTATTCTGTAGCCATATAGATGATTTCCTCTAATAGATGCATTACAATTTTAGAACCTATGAACCTCTTTCTAACCTTGACAAGTTTTTGAACCATGTATAAGAGGTGTATCGACTTTAATCCTTTGCTTTTGTATAATATATTTTTACTCTTTACTGACTGTTTGCTGATTGGCTAATATTCCTCAAGGTCACCTGAGATTCATTGAAAGGTCATCCATAAATAATAGTCTCGCCCGTTAAGTATTATTACTTTGACTTCGATAGTTGAGATTATGATCTAGACCACTATGGAAAACCTGGAAGTACTGGAAAGCTGTTTCGTCTTATTGTGAGACTCCTCAGAAGTTCGCATCCATGATAACGCCTCATGAGATTCGAAACCAGGATCTGTTAGTCTCGTTCTCGAGCGCTTAACCTCTAGACCACCGAGATGACCGGCATCCAACGCGAGCGCTTCAATTGGCTCATGGGCTCAACTATTGAAATTACTATAATATCCACAAAATTCCTTCTGATATTATTACGTTAGTCAAATACTTATATGTATTCGTATACATTCTATGTTTATATCTAAAGATATTTGCCAAAAAAAAGAAAAAGAACAATATTCACATGATAATGTTTTGATTATGAAAATTTCTTATGAATGTTTTCACATTTAAAATTAGTCGAATCAAAATCATCTGGATTGTAGCACAAACAAAATTTTTGTTCCGAAAAAACATCAGTATTTGTTTGTTTGTTTTTGTTTTATGTAAAATAAATGAACTAAGTTGCGAATTTGGTTGTTTTTTTTAAAATTTCTTTGCAAAATATCCATTCCGTTTATAAAATGTGAATAGGAATGTAAAACACTTTTTTATTTCTTCAATAATAGTTATGAATCTTAATATTTTTTGATATTTACAACTTTTAAGAATCATTTAGTCAATATGTATGGATCCATTGAAATTCTCGTTGAAAATAATCATCTGTTCACCAGTGACTGAGTTCAAGAGACACTCCTGGAGTTTTAATGAAAAGCCGTGACCACTGGAGTTCAACCAGGTCTGTTGTGAGATATCAGCTGATTGAAGGCAATGGTGGATGTGTCGCTCAATTTCATGGAGTGGTTGAATTTAGACATTAACACCGTTGGATGCCTGCTCGGTTGTCTAATGGTTAAGTGCTCGCGCGCGAGACTGATGGGTCCTGGGTTCGAATCTCGTGGGATGCGGGATCGTGGATGCGCACTGCTGCGGAGTCCCATACTAGGACGAAACGGCCGTCCAGTGCTTTCAGGTTTTCCATGGTGGTCTGGCTTCAATTGAGTAATGATTTCGATTATTTAAATTTCCAAAATCTCCACAAAACCCCTTCTGAAAATTGTCCCTAATGTCTAGTTGAAAAAAGCTATTACATCTCCAATTTTTGTTTGCGTTTAGTAATGAACTATAGTTTCATTATGAAATGTTATAATAAGTAGTTGAAATTATCAACTATTTTTCATTACATAACAAACAATTTAGATTATATAAAGAATGTTTTATTAACTTGATATCTCGAACAGTATCCTCATTATAAATACAATTCTAATTCACATAGATATCTTCTGTGATCAAGTAAAACACAAAATTCAATTGCTGAAATTATTTCAAATATAATTTTCACATATAATGACTTTGTAGTGTCAGTTACTATGTTAAACCCATATGCCTTATTCTAGCTTCCGGACAAATCAATCTATTCATTCTACTTGAGTCACATTCTGACCTTGTGAATTATTCGCTTATCAATCGTGACTGTTTTTATATGAGCGATCTAATTAGAGTCAGATGTAGGACCAAAAAAACTTCTCTATAATCGGCTAACAATTTCTGTCAAACTATCCCTTCTCATCTTGACGAATATTCATAAAAATTCCATCTTGTTCAAAGTAATTTAGTTCTTTATATTATTAAATGAATAACTTTCATCTTTATCTTGACTGTGTGTTATTCTAATGTTTGATTGAAAGAGATAAATTAGGACATCATGATTAAGTTGGGAAAAATTCTATATAGAATATCACCATACATAGTTGGTTATTTACTTATCGTTTAATATCCAACTGATTGAATCATGTTAATTTAACATTAATATAATGACGAGTAATTTAATATTCAAATAACACATGCGACCAGCTTAATGTTTGTTTGTACAAAAAAAATTGAATGTTTATTAATAATAATTAATGAATGAGAAATTTTGTTTAAAACGATTATAGAGAGAAATGGATGCCGGAAGCTGAAAATTTAATTTCTATAATTAAACTACTATTAGATTTTAAAACTATTTTAAAAATGTAAACATTTTGAGAGTATCTACTTTTGTATTTTACATTTAAAGCTTTTAAAGGTCTTAGTTGCAAAACTTTAGTGTAGTACAATATGTCCCTTGAATACCTTTGATGTAATATTAGTCATAGAGTAGTGAACGAGAACTCAGGTGGGAAAAACCAATTTGTTTCATGAAAAATCACAGAGTAGCTTAGTAAAATATCAAAACTATGCATTAAATATATCATTTACGTTGTCTTTTATCTACTACATTATTCCTTTCATTCTGTTGTGATTTCGATAGCTCTCTGATTGTCTTCCTGTTCTCTTCATTTGAATCTTCTGTTGCTAAGCGCTCTACTTTCGATTGGCCTTATATATTACTTATATCTGTCAGCATAGGCAGCACACATCCCAAAAGTTATAGCAACAACTGTGTTGTCGTAACTTTTAAGATTATACACGGTATCGTGTTCAAGATAACTGGTTAAAATCTAGCTGAATATTTACTATCAGCAGATGACAGATTCATTGAAGTTAAATGGAGATATCTGAAGTATATATATATATATATATATATATATATATATATATATATATATATATATGCCGTTTATATAAATGTTATACTAGTTTTAGTAACAGCATACTAAACTGTACATTCGAATTACTGTTCATCGAAACATTTTGTAGTTTGGATTATGTTTGGTTTCGTTTATTTCTAAACAAATCATTCATTTGATTCTAAGAAGTGATAGATATTTTTAACTGTTCCAATTTGACATATATGTACATGTGTCATAGGATTTCATATTGTTGTATGATTCATAAGCCGAATCATTCAGAATAATGGAATACGTCCAGCATGATAGATAGGTTGTTTTAAGTGATAAATGATAGACAAATCATTTGAACACATTAAACAAGGGAATTTTAATCTTAACTACATAAATGTGAATTTATGACAATAATAAAAATCCATTTTAAGTATTAATTCATCTGAGAGAAAAAATACGAGTTTTAGTGAGGTAGAATATTAAGCGAAACACATTTAATAATAATATGTTCAAAGAGGAATATGTTATTTCTGGATATTCTAGAAAAATACCTTATTAAACTTTGTGTGAACAATTAAAGGGAAATAGGAATTTCATTATGATAACTTATATTATCAATGCTTTA